ACCGTTACTTTAGTTGGTTCAACTTTCTATTTTCAATGACAAATCAGTCATTAAAAATAAAAACAGAAACTAAGCCTTTACTTCTTTGTTATAAGGCTATTCTGACCTCTGCGAGAGTGTGTAGATGAAGTGGACGGACGTCCGTCATCTGGGTTCTGCTTCACACTCGTCCAGTGAACCTGACCTGGGGACACAGACACAGAAAACTCAGAAGAGAGAGATGTTAAATATCCAGGAAGATCCCGGATCTGTGTCGGGTCTGGCAGCGGATCCTGATCACGGTCATCAGAACCGGGTCTCCAAACCTCCTGACCAGCCGTCTGAGAGAAAGCAGCTCTCCGGGGTCTGGAGCGGCCTGAGGATGGAAAATATTACACATCACATAGTTAGTAATGTGTTAATAATAATAATAATCAATGTCAGTGGTCAATTACCAATGATTACTTCAGTTTAAAATCCAAAAGTTTATTTCACATGCAAGGAATCAAATAAATGTGATCAAATGGGTTCTTCACATTAATGTAGTCAGTCATTGTACAACATCACACCATAAACCATACATGAAAAACTGAAGCACTCACCTCCTCTATCACCCATCGACCTCCTCCAAGCTGCAATAAAACAATACAAATTACCACACAAAATACAATACAATAAAACACAAATCTCAGAAATATTCTGCTAAAAATAAACAGTAAACCAAATCAAACAAATAAAATAAAACAAAAAAATATATAAAACAAGAAATTAAATAAACTCCTAAAATAAGCAAAGAACAATGAAAAGTATTCTCAGAAATTATGAAACTTTCAATAATAAAACTATAAGTTATATAAAGTTATATATGAAGTTATATAAAGGATGTATCCTCCGATGTTCGTCTTGAAGAAAAGTCTCCTCTCCGCTGTTGCTGTTTCCAGAAAACGACTTTAAAGTCTCAAGTTTCGCACAGAAAATCCTCTGCAAGTCTGTTCATTCGCCTCGTCTCTCAACCAACAGAAAGCGATCGGTTCAAGTGTAAATAAATGCACAATTCATAAAACGCGTAACTATAGCAACTAAAATGTGCACGTAACATAACACGTACACGCGCATATGGGCAGAGTGCATGAGCCCATCGAATCTGATTTAATAAATAGTTACAAATTTAATGTTGACATGTCTAGAATATGAGATTCGTTCAGAACAATTTTATTATTAAAATCCGTGGAAAGTGCGTGTAAAAAGGAACAAGTGAGATTAAATCGGGAGTCATCTTGTGAATTATATTAGCTAAGTGCTCAAATGTAAACAGCATACAAAGTATACAAAACATACCAACTAATATTACCCTTGCCAGGGGGTATCACATACATTCAAACAAATTGTAAGTAATACAAATATTTCTCGTTAGCCTTTTTGTTCAATGAGCCACTAATTAATTTTATATAGGCTACGATAACATATCACAATAAAAATGTTTAATAATGGCAGTGAACGGCTAGATGATTTTGGAAGTCCATTAAACGTAGTTCACTTTAAAAAAAACTTTTGCTGATAATTTACACACCCCCATGTCATCAAGATGTCCATGTCCTTCTTTCTTCAGTCAAAAAGAAATTAAAGGGTTAGTTCACCCAAAAATGAAAATTAAGTCATTAATTACTCACCCCCATGCTGTACCAACCCCGTAAGACCTTCGTTCGTCTTCGGAACACAAATGAAGATATTTTTGATTACATTTGAGAGCTGTATAACTACCACATTGGCTCCTAAAGGACTGCCTCTTGACGGCCCAGAAAGTCAATGAAGAAAATGTTTAAATATCCCAAGTGACTACCGTGGCTCAACTATATGTTTATCAAGCGACGCGAATACTTTTTGTGCGAAAAAACAAACAAAAATAACGAGTTTATTCGACTATTTCTTTTCTTCCTTGTAGGCCAGAACGAGAATTCCTTAGATTTCCACGACGCATGCGCGAGATTTGCGATCTGCTCACACCAGCCTTCACTACTTCAGATCGCAATTCTCGCGCATGCGTCGTGGAAATCTATAAGGAAGTCTCGTTCTGGCCTACAAGGAAGAAAAGAAATAGTCGAATAAACTCGTTATTTTTGTTTGTTTTTTCGCACAAAAAGTATTCGCGTCGCTTGATAAACATATAGTTGAGCCACGGTAGTCACTTGGGATATTTAAACATTTTCTTCATTGACTTTTTGGGCCGTCAAGAGGCAGTCCCTTAGGAGCCAATGTGGTAGTTATACAGCTCTCAAATTTAATCAAAAATATCTTCATTTGTGTTCCGAAGACGAACGAAGGTCTTACGGGGTTGGTACAGCATGGGGGTGAGTAATTAATGACTTAATTTTCATTTTTGGGTGAACTAACCCTTTAAGGTTTTTTAAAAAAGGAATCTTTTTTCGTGTCATTTGGTTCATTCAAAGAATGAAATGAACGAATTGACTCGGGAACAGATTTGTTCATTTTGATGAACGAATTCGAACAGGAGAGTCACGAACGCGCATCACAGAACAGAGCAAGGCGACCATTTGTGCTTATAAAACTTAAACTTTTTTTTTTTTCAATGAGCGATTGTTTCGCTTGATAAGACCCTTATTCATCGTCTGGAATCGTTTAAAGCCCTTTGAACAGTTTGCACTGAAACTGTCTTTTGGACCTTGAATCGTTTGGTTCCCATTGAAGTCCATTTAATGGAGAAAATCCTGGAATGTTTTCATCAAAAACCTTAATTTCTTTTCGACTGAAGAAAGAAAGACATGGACATCTTGGATGACATGGGGGTGAGTAAATTATCAGCAAAAGTTTTTTTTTAAAAGTGAACTACTCCTTTAAAGTGCATCTACAGTATTCCTTATATACCATGCATCTCAGGGGGTTAAGAAAGGTCTTCTGAAGTGAAGCGATGCATTAGTGTAAGAAAAAATATCCATATTTAAAACTTTATCGACTAAAATAACTAGCTTCCGGCAGACGGCTGTACACCTCGTTTCCCGTCTAATGGAACATTGCCCAGTAACATTGCTCAAAAAATTGCCTCGTGTATCGATGTGTACGGGCGTCTACCGGAAGCTAGTTATTTTAGTAGTTCTAGCCATAGAGATCTGTATAACGGCTAGATATCTCGTTCGCGCTGCTGGCCAATGGAGGTTGACGTCAGCACCTGGCGGCCATCTTGTCACAGGCAGCTCGCTCACTGGTAACATTGTTTTAATGGTGCATGTACTTTTTAAATCACCATAACTTTCTCAATTTTCTACCGATTTTCAAACGGTCTGGTTTGTTATAAACGGCAGAGATGTAGTTATGATACTGTATACTTATGAATAATAAGTGTATTAATAATCATCCAGAATTATAGCCATGTTAATAACGTTTGTAAGAAACCAAACCGTTTGTAAATCCGTCAAGATTTCAATGAGATAAGAGTATTTCTTACATCAGATCCCACAGAGCCCGCCAGAAAGCCTGTCTGTGACAAGATGGCCACCGGTGATGACGATAAATACTCCGCCGTGAGACATCTAGCTTTGTATAGATGTCTATGGTTCTAGCTCCTTTGTTGTCCAGCCCATGACGTAGACACTGATCATCATGAAGAATCATCCTCTAAATGCACTGCGAGGAGGAACGAGAGGAAGCTGAGAGAAAACACAGCAGGATCCTATGCAGAAGATGATGCACACAAGTCTTCACTCTCAGTTCTAAGTCATGATTTAGCAAAAACAATACATCATGTATAAAAAAATGTCTTGGCAAAATAATCATACTGTATCTGCATATAATAATATCCACAAGCATTTTGTATTCATAATGTCTAAATGTTTATTTCTTCATTCAACAGAGTTATCATGGTTATTAAATAGCAAAATGATCTAAACAAACAAGTAAATGAGCTATCGACGTATGTAATGAGAACAGACGCACAGGAAACCCAACCAGTTCCAGCTTTCTGTCAAGAAGACATTCCTTCATGTTAGACATAAGAAAAGTTCATCCATGTCACTCACGATAAACTGAATAGTTCATGTTCCAACCCGATCTCACGGGAATTCGTACGAATTTTATGAGGTGGCTAATTCGTAACAATTTCATATGACCTCACTCATACAAATTAGTACGATTTTGCTAAATCGTACATATTTTACGAATTGGCCAATTCGTATGAATTCGTACGAATGAGGTCATACGAATTAGCCACTTTTTAATCACTCGTACGAATTGGTCGTGAGATAGGGTAGCATGTTCTCATAGTTTGTGAGCAGCTCAAAGCCCAATCAGGACAAGTGTTCAATGAAAATGACCCTTCTTTGGTTTTTAGGCCTATTGGTTTATGTGTCATGATCACTTATTTGACTTTCTTTGGCATTAGTATTTAAACAGAAATAAAAATAAAAAAATCAAACTAGAGATGCATCAAAATCATATAAACTGAATCACTGAAATGGAAATCAAAATTCAAATTTGTGTATTAGTCAATCAAATGTATTTAAAGGTGCATTGCGCAACAATTCATGTTAAAAATACCCGTTTTTCTAACCCATACATGATTAAACAATCGCCTGACGGGCTGAATGAGCCCTTTTCTGATCACTGCGATCGCCTATAATCCTGTACAGTAAAATAAACAAGAGGGATTCGGGACGGAGTTTGAGACATAATGCGCGTTCACGCTTGCCTGGCTATGTCTAGGTTTGTGTATTCGCCGCCATTCTCCGTATCAGAGAAGACAACTCGAGCGACACACCTTTAGTCAACTTTCAACAAAAGTAGAAGATGGATTCAAAGAGACCGGCTTGTAGTTCATTCCAAACCCCAGCGCAAACTCCACGTCAGACAAAGAAAATACAACTGTTGTCTAGCGCCAGGCGTCGGAATAAGACGAGAGTCGACATCGGGAAGCTTTCAACAAATGGAGAGATCTCCGGTCGGCTCTAGGGCTCAAATGGGTCAAAGCAATAACTTATATTGTTCATGAACGTGTTTCCATAATAATACAATCATAAGTGGATACAGTAAACACATAAAACAGTTCAACATGGAGATAGATGGAAACAAAAACCGAAGTTTTCTACCACCCTCGTTTCACCCTCACACAAACATATGTCAGATGCCTTTCCTTTCATATATTTTAAATGACTTGCCGATTTATAACTTTATTACCTCTGAAGACATTATGACTGTAACAAAAGATTTGTGCGGCTGATGCTCCTTTGGTTATGAACCGCTCGAGCGAGCGAGCGTGAGAGTGGTACATGAGCGTGCACACCTCTGGTTGCAGTTTCGCTTGTCACCAGAGGGGGCGTAGTTCTGCAAAAACTCAAGAGACTTGCGCAATGCACCTTTAACAATTAACACTCGCATATAAACTGAGTTGCATATAAACAATTAAATTGCAGTTTGTCATGGCAGTTTTATATAAACTTTTTATTGTTATAATAATTAATGTTTATAGCTAACTTAAAATATAAACATTTAACACATTGGTGGCTGTCATGAAAATACATCAGGTTAAGGGGATAGTTCACTTTGAAATGAAATTTTGGTATGTTTTAGGTTACCTTAAAGGCATCGAAGATGCCTGGTGTCTTTGTTTCCGCAGTATTTTCAAATTTTGATATTTTTAGGTCAAACCGTTCTTGTCTGTCAATCATATAATGCAGGTCTATGGTCTATAAGTAAAAATATAAAGAAGAATATGTAATATAGCTAATATATTTATCAAAATGGTCCTCTAGAATTATTTGTAATTCTTTATTAATTAATTTATTTTTTACTATCGATGTTATGGTCATTTTCTGAGGTAAATGTGACTTTCTGGGACATGATGTTTACAAGCTGTTTTGTTGTTGTCTTTCTGCGGATGAGACATGATTAAAGTTGGACTGTATCTTTCAACACTCCTTCATTCATAATTATATTCGGGGTGCTGTAACTAGTAATAAAGAGGAAGAGACGATCGGTTCACGAGACGCTTAAACTGAGGCACTACAGCGATCTGTCACGCCACATTTAAGAGCACCAAAACCACATTTATTGTTTGAATTTCATGATAAATTTGACAGAATTTGAAAGATCAGACTTTGTTTTATATCACATAGCACAAAGCGTACTGTGATAATTGGATGGGAGATGGGCAACAAATAATGTTTGGTGAAATTTTGTTCAAGGATCAACTGAAAACAGCAGTGTTCCCACAGCCGACACTCAATTCATTTTCATCTAAATATTTTAGGTTCCCTAAATGTCAGTGCATCTCTACAATCTACACATTTAAAGTACATGAAAGGGTTTCCTACCAAAGTTGTATGATATCAGTTTTCTTCCAACTGCTAGTATATTCTAATCCACTATATAACTGATATCTCTGTGTTTACAGTGTTAATAATCCCGAACATTCATTTATTCTTTAAAAAAAACAAACAGTTACACAATGAACTGGACACGGAGTTACTGTATATTACAAAGATAAATAAACTCTGATCTGAATGAGGCTGGAATACTGAATCCATCAGTTTGACTTGGTGAAGTTCAGTCAGACACCAGCTGCAGATCTGAGGTCAGTGTTGATCTGAGCCGGTGATGCTGATGTTAAATTATGAGGTGAGTCTGAATCGACCAATGAGGCTGCTGGATTCATTGCACATGACCTATCTGATTTGCCTCGGTCTGTCTTTGTCCCTGGCATATGTGGCACAACTGGAGCAGCAGAAACTGGAGTAATACTGGCTGGAGCACAGTCGCGCGTACACTATCAGCTTACAGTTCGCCAACTCAGGCTGATCCACACAGTCCGCCGGCAAGCCCTGACTTCCTACAGAGAGACAGTGAGACACACAATTGAACAAATTAAAATGCTCTCACAAGTATAGGTGATCATGTGCGCATAGCAACTGTTTATTATAGCTACTCTTCAAATGTGGAAAACTTGCAGAGCTGCTTTTCTTTAGCCGCGTTTCCATTGCCCTTCAAATTGCGAAATACGCCCAATGGAAACACGTCAGTTACACAAACACGCATAATGTGGTTTTTCAGGCAATTCGAAAAAGGAATATTTCGCAAAACTGCAATGGAAACAGTTTTTGGGCATTTACAGTCACCTGACGTACGTACTGTAAAAGTCGATCACTCTTTAAAGAAGGCGCGGTGTGTTTTGACAGAAGACAGAGCTCTTTTTTTAAAGGGGTGATGAACTGAGAAATCAAATTTTCTTTGAGCTTTTGACATCTAAGAGGTCATCATATTATAAGAATATCCTGTAAGTTTCAGAACTGAAAACGTCCTTGTTAGTCCAATAAAAGCTTTTATTGACACCAGCCTCAGCAAACGACTCGTTTTTCAAAGTGGGGAACTATGACGTCAGAGAGGATAAAACCCCACCCCCGCAGAAGAAGATCAACGCCTACTTCCAACACGGCGATTTTAGCCCCGCCCACCGATTCGTGCATTACACGCATAGCTAAATAACATAGATGCCTACCTCGTGATAACAAACCGGATCGAGCTACCGAGCAATACAGAATATTGTCCAGCGCCTGGTTGTGGAAGAAGACAGTCGCTGCATAAGCTTCCTCTGGACTCCAATAGGACTGAGTGGATAAACTTGTAATGACGTTCCAGCTAATGAGGTAAAACATCGTCCGTCTGTTCGCTTCATTTCACTGAGGATTGTTTTGTAAACAAGACTGGATTTGCAGAGCGATTAAGAGTAAAGAACGGTGCTGTCCCGTTTATATTGGATCTGACAGGAATGGTGCAACACACGGACTCTGGGTCGAACATGTATGGGTGAATCATTCCGGTTGCCATTTTATAACATTGGACGTTTTCGAAACAATTTCCCCCAAGGGCATCGACGGGTGAGTTGAAACTCATTATAATATGCAAAACTGTTATCCACTCACAGCAGTGGGCGTTTACTTCCAAGTCTTCAGTGCGACACGCCCATAAAAACCCAGCGTTTTTCAGCTAGACTCAAAACAAAGGTAGAAAATAGCCTATTACTTGTTCATTTTGATGTTTTTGAATGTAAAAACCAAGCAAAAGTCACAAGCTGACCTCAGACAACAATATAATTAAATTTAAAAAGCCAGTTTTTAAAACTCCTTTAAACTCATAAAAGAGAAGAATATAACGGCAATACTGGATTCTAAACCACAAAGAAATGCCACAGTTTATCAAGAACTTGAAGCAGAAATGAGGGAGAAACACTCTTATGTGTCATCATTAGGGTTGGGTATCGTTTGAATTTGAACGATTCTGATTCCGATTGCGATTCCTTGTTTCGATTCCGGTTCCTAACGATTCTCGATTCCGATTCTTTTAAGAGGCAGGGTCAAAAAAGTTTAGCTAACCTTGCTAACCAACGGCCTTTCTGAAGGAAATACTCCTTCTGTAAAAATACTCCTTTTGTCACAAATTTTGCCGAGATTTCGTTATTTTTAGAAAAGTGAAGCCACACTTTGGATCGCCGACGTAAGGTACTCATGTTCGACTCGCGCGGTTATGGCAACACTTCCGGTAGACGCTTCTTCGTTGGTGTTGTTCAGCGGTTTCTTCTTCCGCTCGGCGGACTGTGAATATCGAAACTAGGAATCGAAATTTTAACTTTTGAACGATTCCGGGAAAAACAAAAAGTTAGTCTCGGTTCCAATCGATACTCGATTCTCGATACCCAACCCTAGTCATCATATAGTACAAGGGTCTTTCCTTGCCATTAAAGCTTGGAATACACGCATACGCCTCCTTCCATTAATAATAATGGCTAGTCTGGTGGCTGAGATATACATAAACCTACCAACATTCGTTGCCATAAGTTTTGGGAGAGGAAAATAAGACGTTTAGTCGCATAACATTGGTTGATAGAAATCTCGTCATTTGGCAGTAGATTTTTTATAGACATTTAGATAATATCATAAAAGTATTGCGCAAATCTGTAATGGAAACGCAGCTTCTCGTTCTCCTCACTTCACAGACCTTGTTGAGGGGATTTGGCCAGTCGTACTTCAGCCGCTGCGCTGACGGAGTACGTCCCAGAGTAAGCATTGCAGGTGTACGTCCCCTCATCCACTGACTGGACATTATGTAGTATGAGCGTCCCGTCTGCCGACACATGCACACGAAGCCCGTCGGGTCGCACTGGCACACCGTTCCTGTCCAGAGAGATGAGGCGCTGTCATGTTAGATGTACAATGTGCTTCATTCACACTGATATACAAAGCGTGTTCTCTGAACTGACCGTGACCAGCCAACCTTCACGTTTTCTCCTGTTACTCCACAGGGCAGCTGAGCAGTGCGGCCCTGCGGCACGTCGATGTCTGTGGGGGCTTTGGTGATCCTGAGGTCCCCTAAAGAAACAACACAACATTACAAGCATACAGAGACCGGACACTGTGAGTATGCGGATGTGCTGCATCATTAATCAAAATACTACCAAATAGGGCTGTCACTGTACGCTTGAAAATCGATTGCACAATCCATCGGACCAACCAACAAGTTTTGAAAGCAGCTTTTTTTCCCCACCAAAAATGTGTGTTAGGTGGACAGATCAATACAGAACATGTCGGATGCTGGAAATTCTGTGATACGCTGTATTTAATTTATCATGTGGATCTCGAGTTGCGTTTTTGCGCTAAATCTGCGCTGATTTGGCTTACACGAACTTCCCAGCAAAGTGAGTAAACATAGAAACACGCCAGATTGGCTCGTGATTGGACAGTGTTTCCCGCCAAAGTTCATTTTTACCCGCATTTGGCGAGTCGAGTGTTAATCTCAATCCCTGAATGTTGCGCTCCTGTTTGTCATTGTGCTGAAACTTCACCAATAAATCATCAGAAATATTGCTGACTTGTGCGTCTCAAGCGCCTCTTTACGCTCGTCCTAACGCCTGTTAGGTGTCCGTGGATTTGCCTGTATTTGGTGTTGAAAATGAAAACGTTTTTAGATGGAAAACATTTCCATTCAATCAACACTTATGTCTCAAAAATCGTATTAGATATGTAAATACGAACTGATATGTGTTAGTGCGGTTATAAAATCGAAGAGGTTGCGATCTAATTGAATAAATATATGCGCTGGATGTTTCAGAGTGGAGCGCAGCACTTCGTTTACACAGAAGTAGCTCATGATCCGCCACAGTCTCACAGTTTTGAGTCGATTTAATGTGCATTTGGGAACAAAACATTAGGCTACATACTTGTAATGAGAAGAGCTTATCAACAAAAGAGAAGGCTTAAGGCCTCCTGTGGTTTTCCATCAAAATAAAAGTTTAATGTTTGAAAACTAAGAATTTAAGATAAAAATAATAACATAAATAAAAAAACAATATTAACAATCAACAAAATTAACAAAAAATATTATTTTATAGCCAAGTTGACATAAAATCATATAATTTTGGCCCAGCAAGCAATCCCAACAAACCTTTTTTTTTAAATCCTATTTTAAATCAAAATTGCAATTAGATTTTCCTCCAAAACATGAAGCACTAATATGGTACTTATTATTCAAATACACAAAAATCGAGAATATAAAACACACCAAAAACCGTGAGCTGGATTTGACGTTCTTCAAACTTCTGGCTGTCCGTGACTGTGCAGGTATAAACCCCTGAATCATCTGACGTCAGCTGGTTGATCATTAACGTGCCGTCAGAGTGTTGAGAATGCCTGTATTAGGAGACAAGGTCCAAAAAGGTCCAAAAGACAGCACTGAAACTGTCTTTTGAACCGTTTGGTTCCCATTGAAGTCCATTATATGGAGAAAAATCCTGGAATGTTTTCATCAAAAAACCTTAATTTCTTTTCGACTGAAGAAAGAAAGACATGGACAACTTGGATGACAAGGGGGTGAGTAAAAGTGAACTACTCCTTTAACTCTTTAGGGATATTCAAATTAAATGACCCATCATACCATTGATCTGCTCTACCAAACTTGGAGTCTTTTTTTCCAGTAATAAACAAACACTTTTAAGTTGTTTTGATTGATAATGTGAAGCAGCTCTGATACAATCTGTGTTGTGAAAAACGCTATATAAATATATTTGACTTGACTTGACTATAGCAAACTGACATTGAATCAACGTGGAAATATGACATCGAAACAACGTTGATCTGACATTGTTTTGCTCATCGAATTAACGTTGAACCAACGTCAGACACGTCATTCTTTCAAAACTAACGGAAAATCAACTTGAAATCAACGCGTTGTTTCAACGTTATGAAAGCAAACCAATTTTCGATTTTCATTTAGCTTTGAAGAATGCCGCGTCTGACGTTGGTTCAACGTTAATTCAATGAGCAAATCAACGTTGTTTCAATGTCATGAGAGACGTCGTTTCCACGTTGATTCAATGTCAGTTTGCTGTCTGGGTAGTTGGTCTCACATGCCGTTAAATAGCACAGGGAGGCGGGGTTTATGACCTATACTAGCACCGGCCACCGGGGGGCAATCGAGACGCTTTGGCTTCACTTTTCAGGGCTTGTGTGGCACGTTTGATTTTAGCGTTCTCCTTCACTTATAATGGTCCATAAGGAGGGTAGGATGCTGCTTCAGAAGGGTTTGAACAGAACTGAAGATGAAGATACCTGAGTGAGTTGAGTGGCTGTCCAGCTCTGCTCCAGTGAACGGTGACCGCATGCATGGCAGACACCGGCAGCACTGCGCACTGCAGCTTGGCAGTCTGACCTGCTCGAGCCTCGACCAGCGGCGAATGGTCAATGTTGAACCTGAAAAAAAAACCCCAAGGGCCAAGATGAGTAATGAAAGTATGATTGAGAATATGTGCTGCATAATTGCACCAACAGTGTGTCATTTAATGATGATGTCTTGTACCTGGAAGATGAATGTGATGTGAATGATTGTGAATAATCCACCTCTGATATTCCTGCACCATTCTGGGATGTTCCTGTATTTGGTACTGAAAGAAAATATTCCTTGTGTAAGAAAAAATATCGATTGTGTTGTTGTATTGTGGGTGGTTGCAAGGTGGGTCTCACTGGCACAAGTCAAAAGATATTATATTATCTATTATTTATAACATGGTCTGGGTGAATACTCGATTCTGGGGTGCGTTTCCCCTATAACGATGTAACTCGCTGCTTCACTACCATAAGTACGATGCATCATTGGAGAAATCAACTAGCTAGTCGCGACTGTTTCCCGAAACCCATTGTCGCGAAGTGTCGTTCAACCACGTTGGTTTCAAACGTGGTGGAGTAATAACTACTTTTAGTGAAACGGTTTGAGATCCAATTACCGCTAGATGCCATCTGAGGACTATTTCTAATTGTTCTCAGGTGTTCTGCTTTATTACCAGACTCAATATTTGGCTCGTTCTTACATAGTAGAGCACGCTCGCACATGCGGACTCTTCAAACACGTTACTTTAACTCTTTTGACAAACTAGAATACGTAAATTACATTTGTATGTATTCTAAATAAAAGGCACCGGTTGTACTGAATGTCAGCTTGCTTATTTTGCTCAACATAAGGATTTATTACGTCCAAATGTCATGCAATATAGAAACTACGCCTCTAACCACAGGTCGAGAGCTGTCATTCAAACCACATAACTTTTTTCGCGAATGTTCGCTGAAACGATGGTTTCGGGAAACACCGACTCGTTGAACTATGCTGATTACGACAGAACTTGCGACCATAGTGTGCTAACGATGCTTTCGGGAAACGCACCCCTGATTGGCTGCAGGGTATCCATTAAAAAGTGATAGAGCCCCTAGTAACTGTTTACCGTTCGAAATTAATTAATAAATACGCTGGCTACATCAGCTGTGAGTAACCATAGCAACAGGCAGTCAAAGTATCCGTTTACAATTTATTGTATCAAAACAAACATCTAGTTAGCCTACTAATAAAACAATGAGCGAAAAAAAAAAGAACTATGCCTACCGGTGTGTTTTAATTTAAAACGCCCATGGCTAGACAAGCCTAACTTACATGAAAAAAGGCAGGCTCGTAAGTTAGCTAAACTGGAGGGCTACAAGCTGAGCAGACTATAAATATCTCCGGTTGTTAATAGGGAAGCCAAGTTATTGTTTGTAAAAACTTTAGGTTTCGATTGTAAAACTAATTAAAATATAAACAAATGTTTTAAAAATTTGGCAAGTGACCATGGTATAAGCGGGTTAATGGACTCCGGTTCACGCCTCGCCGTCGTCCATTAATACCCTTACTTGACCAGATACCAGGTAAGATGTTATCCAGTCAGAAAAAACCCAAGAAAAAGTAATAGCACTCTCACCATTAGTGTTTAATAGTTAAAGATTTAAAGGTTTTGCTTAACTCACTAACCCTGCGATTAATAGTTAGTGATGGTGGCAAGCATCAAATGAAGTATAAAGGATTAGTAAGTAAATACACAGATAGGATAAAGCTAACCTGAGACAGACAGGTAAATGTAGCGGTGATCTCTCTCACGGTTTTTTGTGGCCACACACAGAAACCATCCAGAGTCCTGCAATGTGATGGGACCCACCAACAGAGAGCCATCGGACTGCTGCTGATGCCTGAATGATCAATGCACAGTTTTAATCAAGCTACTACAGGTTTGTGTGAAGTTGAGCAACAGTCTTCAATCCGAATTAATCCAATCTGGCTGCAGGTTCTGAAAGTTGTGTTTATATAAACATTGTAATCCTGCTCTCATATTCGATTAAATGTGCATTACATGTTGCCTTTCAAGGGAACTCGCGCTGCGTTTGAATTTTCGAAACTATGGGAACATCTCTACATGATTGCGTCCTGAAGCATGTGTCCAATGGCGCAATCACACAGAGGCGTTCCCATAGCGCAGAAAACTTCCAACACAGCGTCTCGTTCCCTTTTCAGGGAACCATGATTACAAGTTGTTACATTTTTCAAACAAAAATCAGCACATATGCAGGGCTTATTAGCCCTGAAAGTCTCCTCGGTAATATTAATATCTCAACGGTACTTAAAGTAAATATCTTAAATTAAACGTGTTCGGTTAACAAACAAATTGGGGAATCTATGTTTGGTAAGTACACGACCAAGGTCTTCCAGGTTTTAAAGTCGGCATGAAATCAAATTTGACAAATCTTCTTTTTATATGTAATATTGTAGTGTTTATTATAAATGATTTATCTGTGCACTTCATTATTATTATTTTTTAATTCATGTACCCTTATAATCTTTAATCAAATACATTACCCTTCCCTCACCCATCGAAACGACCACTCTTTTATTTCGTCACATGCAATGGCGAAAGGTTGCGGCCAGATCTGCAAGGGTGCACCGCCTCTCAGAGAATCGCATTCAAATCTGCCTCCATTTTGTTTGCAACGCCCAACCTCCATTCCCGAAGGACGAAATCAAGCCCCGTCCTACATTTTTGTCTAATAGAGAGCCTAAAGTCCCCCCCCTTCCGGTCGACCACCATGGGACCTTATTTCGGAAAAATATTGAATGGTAGTCAATGGCGAGAGACAACAAATATTTTGATCTGGTTTGAATTGTGCCCTGAATTACACACATGATGTTTGCCAATTTAAAAGATACATTTTAAAGTAAAGAAAGTCGCAGTTTGATGTAAAACCGTTGAGGTATAAGACTGTGAAAATACGTATATTACAAAGACTACAAACCCCAAAGGCGCACATTTTCTCTCAATGAATGAAGCTAACTTTACTGAGGCTAATGTCTGTCATTGTTTCTACAGTCTTACGTTATAATCGTAACGTTACGCCGTCATACCTGAGTGTTTTGTGCCAGACTACACACACACGAGCAGCGGATCTCGTTTGTAGATGTAGTTCATAGAGCGATTTTCACATACAACTAAATGTTACTCTTCTGTTTTATGACAAACGGCGACGTTTTCGACTTTTAGAATTATCTTTTAAATTGACAAACATCATATATGTAATTCAGGGCACAGTTCAGACGGAATAAAAAGATAAGTTGTCTCTCGGCATTGCATACCATTTTATATTTTTTCCGAATTAAGGTCCCATGAGCTGGAAGCAGAGGGGCGGGACTTAGGCTCTCTATTTCAGAAGCCGTTTCACTCGGATATACGTCACAACAAGGGAAAAATGACAATCTCGACTACCGTTTCACGCCGACTTTAAATATTTTTTGTCCTGATTTTCAGAAACAATAGTGATGGTCACTGGATATAATGAAGACATATTATTTCACAGCTATATATAATAATGTAATCAATAAAAAAGTGACTGTTATCTGATCAAGCATTTTAAAAATTAATATAATCTGGATACAATTACTTAATTTTTGGGACCTGGTTATGTTATGATTAGGGTTGGGTATCGAGAATCGAGTATCGATTGGAACCGAGACTAACTTTTCGTTTTTCCCGGAATCGTTCAAAAGTTAAAATTTCGATTCCTAGTTTCGATATTCACAGTCCGCCGAGCGGAAGAAGAAACTGCTGAACAACACCAACGAAGAAGCGTCTACCGGAAGTGTTGCCATAACCGCGCGAGTCGAACATGAGTAGCTTACGTCGGCGATCCAAAGTGTGGCTTCACTTTTCTAAAAATAACGAATCTCGGCAAAATGCAAAATTTGTGACAAAAGGAGTATTTTTACAGAAGGAGTATTTCCTTCAGAAAGGATTATTTCCTTCAGAAAGGCCGTTGGTTAGCAAGGTTAGCTAAACTTTTTTGACCCTGCCTCTTAAAAGAATCGGAATCGAGAATCGTTAGGAACCGGAATCGAAACAAGGAATCGGAATCGGAATCAGAATTGTTCAAATTCAAACGATACCCAACCCTAGTAATGATTATGATTATCCAGATTACATGTAATTAATTACTACCCAGCACTGATGCAAAAGCAGAAATGATCTTAAATGATTGCACAATACTCTCATATTTTACAGGTTACTTACATTTTTTATAGTGATAAAGTGTTTATGAGCTGCTTAAATATCAAATTATGCAGGTACTCACCTGGCGAGGTCAACTAGGACACCGTCGCGTCTCCACTCGACAACCACAGTGGAGGAGGGCCGAGGGGTCACCCTGCAGGGCAATACTACCTGCTGACCAACCAGACCCTCCACCGTGGAGGGATCCGTCTTGTCTATACTCACACCTACAGCTGTCCAACTGAAGCAAATGAGTACAGAGAGCAAGAGGAAATAGACACAGGTACAGAACCAGAATGGAGGGAACCGGGACGAAAGGGATGAGGGTAGAGACAGACAGACAGACATGCAGGCAGAAAGAAAGAAAGAAAGAAAGAAAGAAAGAAAGAAAGAATACATATGACTTTATGCTGTACTATTGGGAGCAGCAAAGCATTTGTTGCAGTCACCACAGCAAGCATAAAGATCTGCCTTGACCGGGCTACAGCTGGAATACAGGATCCCAAAAGAACAACACCAGAACAACATGCTGACAATTCAATCAAACAAGACCATAGGAAAAGCTGGAGAACAGTTACTCAAACAATTTCCAACCTATACAGACGGAAAGGATCAAAACCTAAAAGTTAACCATTCACCCCATTCACACAGATCTGCGAAAACGATTAAAAACGCTGTATTCTGCTGCCAGGCCAGTAGTTGGCGATGTCACTTTGTAAAGAAACACAAAGTGCAAATAGACTGAACACATATGGAGACGATAATGGTATAATTTTCAAAACCTCAGGCCCCCGAAACACCATTGTTATGTAAATGACCGGCCAAAATTCATAAAAAGTTTTCAGCTTTTAATTGAAACCAGTGTCGCGGCCCGTAAATCTTATGTCCGTACTCTCAGTTAGGCGCAAAAAAACCCCCCTGTTTCAGTTATGCAGAGACAGCGACAGGAAAATATATTTTTTTTGTGGCAAAACAGTTCAAAATTGTATTTTTCTGCCTAGTTTCATTTACGCTACTTAGTGTAAAACACATAATACAAACCGACGAGAAAATTAAGGTTTTAAAAGCCTGGGTAAGGTCTTAAGTAAGTTTAAGACTCTCAGGATAGGATGGTCATGAAACAACAAAATGACTTCCTCACGGTCATTGTTTGAACCATTTGTCTACTTCACCAACAGCCATTGGGAAATCAATGGAATCGCGGAAGTGCTCTTCAGGGACGTATACATGATGACTAGAATTACTTGTAACAAAGAAGAAATTTACTTTATTACTTGATGCTTTATTATACACTCACCTAAAGGATTATTAGGAACACCTGTTCAATTTCTCATTAAAGCAACTATCTAATCAACCAATCACATGGCAGTTGCTTCAATGCATTTAGGGGTGTGGTTCTGGTCAAGACAATCTCCTGAACTCCAAACTGAATGTCAGAATGGGAAAGAAAGGTGATTTAAGCAATTTTGAGCGTGGCATGGTTGTTGGTGCCAGACGTATTTCACGATCTGCTCAGTTACTGGGATTTTCACGCACAATCATTTCTAGGGTTTACAAAGAATGGTGTGAAAAGGGAAAAACATCCAGTATGCGGCAGTCCTGTGGGCGAAAATGCCTTGTTGATGCGAGAGGTCAGACGAGAATGGGCCAACTGATTCAAGCTGATAGAAGAGCAACTTTGACTGAAATAACCACTCGTTACAACCGAGGTATGCAGCAAAGCATTTGTGAAGCCACAACACACACAACCTTGAGGCGGATGGGCTACAACAGCAGAAGACCCCACCGGGTACCACTCATCTCCACTACAAATAGGAAAAAGAGGCGACAATTTGCAAGAGCTCACCAAAACTGGACAGTTGAAGACTGGAAAAATGTTGCCTGGTCTGATGAGTCTCGATTTCTGTTGAGTCATTCAGATGGTAGAGTCAGAATTTGGCGTAAACAGAATGAGAACATGGATCCATCATGCCTTGTTCCCACTGTGCAGACTGGTGGTGGTGGTGTAATGGTTTTCTTGGCACACTTTAGGCCCCTTAGTGCCAATTGGGCATCGTTTAAATGCCACGGCCTACCTGAGCATTGTTTCTGACCATGTCCATCCCTTTATGGCCACCATGTCCCCATCCTCTGATGGCTACTTCCAGCAGGATAATGCACCATGTCACAAAGCTCCAATAATTTCAAATTGGTTTCTACTAAAATGGCCCCCACAGTCACCAGATCAACCCAATAGAGCATCTTTGGGATGTGGTGGAACAGGAGCTTCGTGTCCTGGATGTGCATCCCTCAAATCTCCATCAACTGCAAGATGCTATCCTATCAATATGGGCCAACATTTCTAAAGAATGCTTTCAGCACCTTGTTGAATCAATGCCACGTATAATTAAGGCAGTTCTGAAGGGGAAAGGGGGTCAAACATAATATTAGTATGGTGTTCCTAATAATCCTTTAGGTGAGTGTATTTAGGACTTGGTGTTGCAGTTAGCATTATGCAGCCAACAGTTCAACATGTATTGTTGGCCCTGGAACATTAAGAGGAAATTATTTGGTTGATGAGCAAGTTGATCAGGCCCCAACGTCACCGGAAAATCTGATTGGAATTTTGTTCCAAGACCAACAAGGATGTTGATCCATGAACACTTGGTAAAATCACAGCAAGCATAAAGGCCCCGATATACTTCAAGAAAAATCAAAGAACAAACTCGCATGATTTGGAAAAAAATCAGGCCAAAATGAAGTTTCTTTTGACTTTGTTTCAGGAGGTCAAAATACCTTGCCAATGAGAACTTTCTGGAGAAAGTTTCTGGTTCTGACTGATAAACACATAATAGGTGGGTGTGGCTCTGAGACTCCGCCTCCTTTGAGCAGTAAATCCTCTCTAGTTTATCAAGGTCAGATGCAAATAAAAACATGAGCACACTGGAGAGATGTTTATAGTAGAAGCGTAAGTTGTAAGACTAAGTTAAAACAACACTGATTTTTCATGTTTAATACTGTAAAGCTGCTGCAAAAAGCAGTCTATTGAATAAAGTGCCCTGTAATAAACGTGATGTGACTTTACTGGAGAGCTGAATTGAAGAGCTGGTCTAAACAAATCCACATCGCTATGATCAGATGCTTTCTAAACTGCTGTTTTCTCACTAATGTCATTTTTGTTTAGGTTTATTTTGTTCTTTTGAGAGGAAAGTGTGCGGCAGGTATTTCAAGCTACCCCTAAGCAAAGAACCAAAAAGAAGTCCACCGCGAGTACATCAGGGCCTTAAAGGTGAGGTGTTCTACTCTACAACATTCATTTACACTCTACTTGCTAATTTGAAAGGATTTGGGAGAGACACAGAGAGATAGTCAATGATGACTGGGACCCCACAGCGGATTTTATTAGTGACACTTGTAATGAAATCATGTACCACACACAGACATGGGGATGGGAAGGGGAGGTAAATTAAAAGTAACTAAACAAAACTAAAAGCAACAGAGAAAAGAGGTTAACAGTCTGCGTCAGGGCAAATAAACCAGTCCCAAAAGCACATCACAGTGAGGGCTGTCAACTTCTACAGGGAGAGTGTATGTTGAGGCAGTAGATTAGTACGATTAAGAAGCGTGAGGCAAGTCGTAATACATCAAATGGCATTACACTGCATTAGACAAATGTGTTTTTAGATAATGTTATGAGTGTGTACATAGGGTCCAAAATTAAATCTGGTAACAAAAACTTTCTATATGGCCAGTTACTTAAAGGAGAACTCCGGCGCAAAATGAACCTTTGGTCTAATAACACATATTCCTAGTCGACCGTTCTCTGAGATTTCTTTTCATGATAATCGAATGTAAAGAGTTTCATCTCTAAAAACTGCTTAGCTTATAATGCTAGTAATGGGGGCATTGAAATCGCTAGTTTATACCACTAACAAGGCTCAAAATAGCCCCACACTAACACAGTAACATAATGAAGGTCCATACATGCAAAACGAAGCATTGAGAACTTTGTAAGTGTACAGACCGTTTAATAAGAAGATATTTTATAAAGACAGTAGATTTCGCATACAGGCATGAGCCATCTTAGAAAATAGTCTCGATAAGTCAAACCACGAACGCCATTCATACAGTTCAGAAGTTCACTGAACTTCATACAGTTCAGATCACTCAGCACGACGTTCGTGGTTTGACTTACCGAGACTATTTTTTAAGATGGCTCCTGCCTGTATACGTGAAGTGAACTGTTTTCATAAAGTATCTCCTTATTAAACGGTCTGTACACTTACACAGTTCTCGATGCTTCGTTTTGCATGTATGGAGCCTCAGTATGTTTCTGTGTTAGTGTGGGGCTATTTTGAGTCTTGTTAAGCCTAGTTCACACTACGTGATTTTAAGCCCGATTTGCAAATCGTTGAGTCGCCGACAGGTCAGGGTGTTATCGCGTGCAAATCGCGGGCGATTAGCGGACGATTAACGCTCGCCAATCCGTTAGTGTGAAAGAGCCAACAACGCATCAAAGACAGCTCGCAGACAGGTCACCGAGCTCAGAAAAAGATCTAGCATGCTAGATATCTCGAGCAATCGCGCGACTCAATCTCAGTGATGTCATGAGTACAGCCAATCATAGCAACGCATGGGTTGAGGACACCAGGTAAATCTTACTTTTTCTTTTTTGCATTTTTTTTTCTCAGAGCAGATCGTCGAGCAAACAGTGTGCAGCACTAGTTTCTGTCTGACGTTCATATTGGCGTGTTGTGTTCTTCTCTGCAGTTTCGCGTCATTTCTGGTTCGTTTTATTGCGTGGTTTTTCGTTACAAAACATGGTTTCTAGACCAGATAGAATCGTGTTGTTGTCAACTCGTTATTTGTTTGATTATTTTCAGGATTTAGACCGTACTATAGTACTGAAACGGCTCTCATTGAGTCACAAATGATATGCTCTTATCATCCGATCGTGGTTGTATCTCTATGTAGTGCGTTGTTAACTCGTGTAGAGAGTTACCTCCTGTTGTGGATCAATCACGTTGTGTTGTGTGGTGTGAACAGCTAAACAACTTGAACACTCATGATTTCACTGAGAGCAAGTCATGTAGTGTGAACTGCACAGTTCAGCCCGACATTTTAAAATCATGTAGTGTGAACTAGGCATTAGTGGTATAAACTAGCGATTTCTTTTTACTCAGTCAATGCCCCCATTGCTAGCATTATACGCTAAACAGTTTTTAGAAATAAAACTCTTTACATTCGATTATCATGAAAACAAATCTCAGAGAACGGTCGACTAGGTACCGATGTTTTATTAGACCAAAGGTTCATTTTGCGCCAGAGTTCTCCTTTAACATCACACCGGGTTAAAGTCAAACTTTATGAATGATAGTATAATAGTCGCTGATTGCGAGTGATTCCAATCAAAGACATACAATTATTGAAGTTTAATTGTCATACACAACAAAAAAATTGCCTTCTAACTGAGAGACCAATCTAGCTTGTATATGATGGTGTGTGTGATACAATTGAGGACAAAAGTCTATTTTTTATTAAAAATACAGCTTCATGACCATCAAGAATACTTATGATATTCTAAGTCACCATTAGCAGATTGAAGTTAATTTTGGATCCTGAGTGTACATATGCTGAACTGCTGTTAGTGAAGCAATGCTCACTAAAAAGCATATGCATTTAACACGCCTATGTAAGTCTCTGTGCATGTCCTGCGGGCTCCTCTCTTGGCTCTTCAGCAGGGCGTGAAGAGCAGACAGCAAAAGAGAACTTGCAGGGGTTTGGGATTGGGCCTGGGAGAGGAGTAGAGCGATCCAGGGCGAGTTGGATAATCTTACCTGGCAGCGGGGCTGCTCTGCTGCATGGCACTGGGGGCCAGTCGGTGAGCCCGGTGCCCATGGGTCGCACCGCTAGAACTGAGAGTGATACGTGCTGGGAGGCGACGTCCACTGTGCTGCAAGACATGCGCCTGGTCCCGCTGGCTTAGCTCTGATCTCAGGCACATCTTCTGGCATTCCTCCTCCGAGGCGAAGTTGTTGCTGTTGCCATGGCAGCCGCCATACCAGAAGTGCATGCATTGCGAGGCAGAGCGGTCATAGTAGTAACGGGACGTCCACTGATCGCATGGCCCAACCACATGGGGTAGGTCACAAGACAGAGAATGATGTGCTGAGGGGTAAAAGACATATGCAATATGACAATAATCTGTTCGAAAAAGTTTGATAGGTCAGTCACATTCCTCAAACACCAGTGTTGAGGTCCAACTAGGTCAATCAAGTAAAAGTCAAGACCGAGACCAGAAGAGTAGGCTTTATGCCGTGCGTCACGTGACCAAACCTGAAAACGGGTCTCATCGCATCCGCTTGTCAGAGAAAGTGTTAACGGCCGTAAGAACTGACTACGATACCTATGGATTTTTAAGGTAATCAGCTAACCTAACTAGTTCACTTTGTTATTGGCGTTTTATTCCATTTAAATATGAAGAGTTCAGATGCAAAAGCCTCTAAATGCCATTTGAAATTTTCTTCTTTAATGTTGATTTTTTATCAAGCTTGTATATTTAAGTTCAGTAATTTCACTTAAATAACAATTAATAGGTAATTCTCATTGCCATTTAAGTGAAACTACTGAACTTAAATATACAAGCTTGATAAAAATGATCATTCTAGAAGAAAATTACAAATGGCACTTAGAGGCTTTTGCATCTGAACTCTTCATATCTAAACGTTACTGTGAAGAAGAAAAATATAAAACGTTTAAATATCAATCTGCACACGTGAGGGATATTGGTTATTCTAATCTTTGCTCGTTCCTTTTAAGTTATCTTGAGTAAAACCACAAAAAAATTCATGAAGCACATACAAAAGACTTGGACCGGAAGCGATGCGACCTGTTTTACAGAATGCGGAAGTAAGTTGTGCATTGGCTTTGAGTATTTCAATGTCTTGGTCTTGCTTATATTTCCATGATGTTGGTCTTGGTCCTTTTGGTCTTTCCCTTCTTCTGGTCTTGATCTTGACTCAACTTCAACCATTGGCGTAACTTTTTTTTTTTTTTTTTGTTGGGTTGCATCGAGTTTAATTTATCGACATAGAACTCATGTTTAGTGTGATAGTTTCATCCTTACATCTATTGTAACCCTATACATTTTTAGTCCCGACGGTTTTTAAAAATTGAAAAAAAAAAAAAAAATCATATATCATCATTTAATGTTCGTGTGTCCTAAAAGTCTGGTGGTTGAATTTTTGATCTAAGGTTCTTGGTTTTAATCCGCCCTTGTATAGTTTTTTTTAATAAATTAAAGTTTAAAAATGAAAGAGAAATGATCACTTTTTCTATATTGTGACTTACTATTGGTGGGGGTGTTCAAGCACCCCTCCCCATGAGTACCACCAGCTGCCGTCACACCATCATAGCAGCAACCGTAGGTGGATGTATGGCAGTCTGGGGTCGCAGATGGTACGGTATCTGACTTTATAGACAAAATACAAGAAACAAAAGAAACAGACAAACAAAGACAGGGCAAGACATTAGGGAATATCTTCCAGAGGGTATGTGTCCACAATCCACATTCAAATGTAAGCAGCATATCATAAAGTCTGAATAATGAACGTAACCCGGTAACTCAACAGTTCCACAAAAATTGTTTGGGTTCCAAACAATAGATCCATAAAGTAGTGCCAAATAACTTTCCTATAAATTAATCTTTAATAAAGAAAGAACGCTCTTAGATCTTCTAAACTCTACACTACACAATCTAAGAGATTGTGATCTGGATGAATTGGTGTAAATCTAAGAGCAAGACTGTCAAGTCAACATGACATTTTTCCTCAAAATCCCCAAACAGACATCAACCTCCAGAATATGTACAAAAAACATATACCAGCAAAAATAATTACAGCCAGGAAGGGCAAGACCTCGAGGAACACAAGTGCGAAGTGAAAATGAAATGAAAAATGCCTTATGGAAACAGTAAAATTCGATGAAATTTCATGAAAATCGACTCAAATGAAATACGTTCGGTCTCATCGGATTTTCTCTTGATCGATATACGGCTAATGCGATAAAAGCTGATGGAAACGTTATTTGCCGAATAAATAATGAATTGCGATTAAGTTTTATGCCCTTTTATGGTTGCAACACGCCAGAAGACGAGTTCATTTCTGGCCAGTCTGTTTGCGTACACATGGCGGATGTCGACAAAGACAGTTGTAAGTGGACAAAGCAAAAAAAAATGCTTCAACCAAAGGGTTTCCGTAAACCACGATATCCCAGAACTGATGGAGCGCTCGTTCCCACACCATAGTCACCTCCGCTGTCGTCGGGCATTTACGTGCATCGGCATCATCATAGCAATGTTTATAGCGTCGCTGTTTTCTTAGGTTAGTTTTGCTTGTTTTTACGTGGCTTGGTTGAATTGTAATGTAGAATGTGGTCTGTTATTTCTGGTTAACAGACTGCGGCGTTGCTATAACACACCGTTGCCATGGACGCAGTTCAGAGACGGAACAGACTATTTTCTTTAGCAGAAGCAATGCTCGTTTTTAAATCAATAAACTCGTTTTTAAGTCAATATTTTGTGTCAAATAATTTATTTATTTTGTTGATTTATATGTAATAAGCAGGATAATAGATAGCGAGGCGGTTGTTATAGCGAATACAACAACCGCCTCGCATACATTATCCCATACATATTTCGCTATCAACTGGCACATAATAAGCATTATTAGGCTTCAACTTGTGAATTTGTTGGTAGATGGTGAATCCGTTTTGTCTAACAAAACTTTGTTCGCAAAAGTTTGCTTGAATGTTGAATGGAATGAATGGAAACATCTTAAAATGTCTCAAATCAATTCGATATACCAATTTGATCGCAAAACAGCATGTGACGTCATTACATTATTCGCTTTAAAGCCGTTTGATGGAAACACACTTTCACCAGCCTTATTCGCATGTGTTTTTTTTACCGAACTTCCGATAATTCGATTGACAAGTGGATGGAAACATGGCTTCTGAGTCACTGGGCCCCTTTTGTCAAGGTCCTAAGTCCATTGCTCAGGCTCCAACTCTCCCTTCATAGAGTCCAACCCATAATGCCCTGTTCACACTACATGATTTTAAAACGTCGGGCTGAACTGTGCGGTTCACACTACATGACTTGCTCTCTCTGAAATCATGAGTGTTCAAGTTGTTGAGCTGTTCACACCACACAACACAACGTGATTGATCCGCAACAGGAGGTAACTCACTACACGAGTTAACAACAACTCTATTTTGTCTACAAACCACGTTTTGTCTCGTAAAATCACGCGATAAGATGAACCAGAAAACAGCACGTGAGTCAAGAAGAGAAGAACACAACACGCGAATATGGACGTCAGACAGAAACTAGTGCATCAAACTGTGAAAAAAGCGAAAATAAGATTTACCCGATGACCTCAACCCATGCCTTGCTGTGATTGGCTGGAGTTCATGACATCATTGAGGTTGAGTCGCGCAACAGCTCTGGATATCTAGCATGCTAGATATTTTTCTGGGCTCGGCGACGCGTCTGCGAGCGTCTTCGCTCCGTTGTTGGCTCTTTCATACTAACAGATTGGCAAGTGTTTATCGTCCGCTAATCCCCCGCGATTTGCGATAACACCGTGACCTGTCGGTGAGCTCAACGATTTGCAAATCGGGCTTAAAATCATGTAGTGTGAACTAGGCTTAAGATCTTGTGTTGAATGTGTGAGATGTTGGAAACATAGGCATGGATTAACCTTACTATTGTATGGAGAATGCTGGTATAACAACATCATAAAAATGTGTATATCAGAAACAGGATTGTGTGTCATTTAGTTAGTATATATTACAGCATTTGTTATTTTGTGAATTTTTTTTTTTTATATAAACCTCTAAAGTCTGTTTGTTCACCAGATCTGCTCTGTTTTACTGTTCCTTGATTTAGTCTGATATGCAATGGTGATTATTCTTTTTCTGTTGCAACTCCCAGACTGTGAAAGTGGTTGCCATTGAAGATTGTGTAATGCTGCTGCTGAGCTGGCTGGACTCGGAGAGGGCTACTCTCTGAGAAAACAATGGTCTTTTCTGGAAATTAAAGTTCTCGTATTATGCCCCTTTTCACAAGATGTGAAATAAGTCTCTGATGTCCCCAGAGTGTGTATGTGAAGTTTCAGCTCAAAATACCCAACAGATCCTTTTTTACAGCATGTTTAAACTGTCTTTTTTTGGGGCTCAGAAAAACACGCTGTTTTAGTGTGTGCCCTTTAAATGCAAATAAGCTGCTGCTGCCGGCACAGGGGGCGGAGCTTCATGAGCTCACTCTCATGCTGCGTCCCAATTCGCATACTATCCGTCCTAAATAGTATTCGAAAATAGAATTAGTACGTCCCAAATCGTAGTATGTTGAAATTAACGTTTCAAAGATACCCGGATGGTCTACTTTTGCGATTGTTGTCTACCATTGCGCGTTGGACGAGGATTCGGTTAGAACTACAAACACGAGTAAAAAGTGTAGACACGTAGTCGATACGGAGGACGCGCGAGTCCCCGCGGTAGTGTAGAGAGGTTTAGATAAAGAGCTTCGAGTGATAATTATCAGTATCTAACCTGACGAAAATTAATTTATTCAATGTTGTCCACATTATATTGCAACCCGGTCTCATCCCAAGACGTCATGTAACTGACGTTTTGGGACGTCTTTTGACCATACGTCAATATTCGCCTTTTTAGGGCCCCCTTAAACGTCGGTAGATGAGGTTATGGGATCCTAACTCTACCCCATACCTAAACCTAACCCTAAACCTACCCCGTCACGTAACTGACGTTAAAGGTAAAAGAATCAGTTGTATGACGGCCCGGGATCGCCATCTACCGACGTTTAAGGGGGCCCTAAATATTGACGTATGGTCAAAATACGTCCCAAAACGTCAGTTATATGACTTTTTGGGATGAGACTGTGTTATATATTGCATTTGCAGCAGCATTGTGAACTTTTGTAAAGACACGTTTAGCTATTACGTTTTAAATGCATCATTATTTGCAAACACGAGGAGAGCATGAAAGACCCACAACTGGCAGATGGATGTGCTCTCCGAAACGGTAGGAAATAAAATTAGATAGAATGGAGGATTTTAACTGTGACGAGATGATTGACAGGGCAGTTTACGGTGACAGGATGCACGCAGCACGCGACAGAGCTGTCCGTTAAAGATGACGTGATAGTATGTCCCAAAGCTTGCCTATTCTTTTGCTACACACTCAAAAGTATGTACTTTTTCCTCACAGAAAGAGTACATACTTTAGGGCGTAGTATAAGTAAGCGAATTGGGACACAGCATCAGTCTCTCAGGACAATTTCATCTCACGGGATGATGATAATATCAGAAACTCTCAGTAACGGTGTTCATTTCCAGTCGGACATTAATGCCTACAGAGTCAGAGTGCTGTATAGAGATGGAACAGCTATAGTTTAGTAGTTTAATTACGGTTATTATAACGTATTTGTCATCTGCTTGTATGTATCCATTATTTATTAATAGCCTACAAGTCTGCTGTTTCGGACCAGGTCCGAATGATGATCAAACATATACTGATGAGTTTAATAAAGTTTATTGTACATCACACAAAAGATGAAGCGTCAGTTTTACTTCAGAAAATCACCGTAAGAGCTGAGTAAACTCAGTAAGTTAGAAGAAGTGCGCAAGAAAAAACTGTTCTGACGTCATTAAAGAAGGAAGTAGAGGGATGTAGTCCAAACGGGCCGTTCAGTGTAGGCTACTTCTGTTAAATAAAATATCTCGCTTTGCATTGAACTTTGAGCTTTATAATTTTACAGATATTATTTATACTCTAACAACAACATTACACACCAACTGAAGTTTGAAACATGGGATCATGAAGAATGGGACCTTTAACATTTTACTTAGCATTCTCAGCCGAGACGCAATCACACCGAGTAGATAACCTCAGTATTGTCTTATCTGCATTTCTTTCCCTTCAATCTCTCTTTTCTCCACATACTGAGATCACCCTGATCAACTGAAACTCACCCAAAAATCGATATGGTTTAATGTGAACAATTACCATAAAGCACTATACATATTTGGTATCATTTGAAGTGTCTCAGTGCAACTGGTACAATGGCCGTATCCCCATATTAGTAAACTCAATGGTACTCAAGGTTTTAAAAGTTTAGGGCTACTTTGCTTACTGAAAACGATGAGCCCTTATCCAAGGCCTCTCATGGAAATTACCTTCTGTACCCAGTAAGGTGTAATCTACCCAGGTCTGGGACCTTGATAACTGTTCATTCCCCCATTTGGAGGACGATTTGTTTTGTCTTGGTCTGAGTATTTAAAGAAATGTCCCAAAAGGCTTAGTGCGATTCTGTAGCCAGACCAGCCCGTAATTATGTACAGCATTTTTCTAATGTCAAGAATGCATCTTTTACTCTGTTTCTGAGCATTT